ACACTTGAAGCCTTGTTATATCTTCCACTTTCAATGGCCATGTTTCACAGCCATACAGTAGAACAGAGTGGACTGCTGCGCAGTACACGCGACCCTTAATAGACAAGCGGATATCACGGCGGCACCATAGGTGGCGCAAATTGGCAAAAGCCAATCGAACCTTTTGTATCCGTGCACAGATTTCATCGGCAACTGACCAACACACCAGGGTTGATCCCACTTCCCAGGTAAGTGAAGTGGTCAACACACTCAACCACTTCACTCTCTATTGTTAGCCGCGGTACCGTTGAAGACCAATCCTGGAGCAAAAATTTGCATTTGTGTGGTGAGAACCGCATCCCAAACATTCTCACATTCCCACTCAAAGCGTTCAGAAGACTCTGCATCTCATCAGTCAGCGTCTTCACCTAACAGGACTAGGTCATTTGTGTATCCTAGGTCTAATGAAAATTCTCCTGTGATTACGTGAACGTCTGTGTAATTAGGTGACAAGAGGGAAACCTCCTCCATAAGTATATCTATGATAAAATTAAGTAAGAATGGAGAGAGTGGGCATCCTTGACGGACACCACTTGATGAGTATAGCTCCCTGGACAACTCACCATAGGCTCTAACATGCCCACAAGTGTTCGAGTAGAGAGCTTTCAATAACGTGATGTACTTACTTACTTACTTATTCAAGTAAGTTATTACTCAGTTTTACTGAGTTATTGCCGCCAGGAATCGTCTAATTAGCGAACACTACTACTGTGTTTACTCATAGCACAGAGAATTGTTGTCGTTCATATTGAATTCCAGTGTTTTTTTTAAAAGTACGCGTAACGCCGTATACCATTATGAAGCTGGATACTAAACATTGTATTGATTGTTTTATGGTCATGCGTTCGAATCCTGCTTCACCTATCGAAGTTTGGGGAACCAGGTTGTATCACTACACTTTACACATTAAGTGTCTGACTCTGTCTACTGCACGAATGTAGACAAGATCGGTGAGTGGATATTGATTCAATCATATTAACATACTACTAAAACAATATAAGTAGTTAAACAACTGTCAATCTTCGCATCAACTTTTCCCAGTTATATCAAAGGTATTTTTGATAAAACTAATAAACGCAGCACACTTTATACTCTTGGATTTCATCCCAATGATTAGTTTGTAATAAATCTTCTGATTAAATAACTAGACTTTATTATTCAAAGTTTCATATGCTAACATTTTGGCTAACTTCTGCATAATGTCAGAATTGGCTCAAGTTACTTATTGGTAACATGATGTCTCTTACTGTTAGTGTGTTGTATAGGGAGATAAGACTTGCCTGGTTGGGGACTCTTGGTGAACATGGCTTACAAATCGGTCTCTGTGGTGCAGATCTATTTACTCTTTGATTTCATCTGACCCTTGATTGTTTGCACTGATCTTTGTCTCCAATTTATTTTTCGTGTACACAACTTTGTCTACTTTGATGTCAGTCTTTTTCTATGCACTTGTTGTTTATATACTACTGTGAAGTGATGAATTTGTGTTCAAGGTTCTACATTGATTATCAATCATTGGTAATATGTCTGATAACTTGTTAACGTGTTGATGGTAGGTGATTGGAGGTAATCTTAAGGAAGCCCTTCTTTGTACTCATCAACAAAACGCATCCATGACCTTGACTGCCTTTAACCACCTAGCATCAGTCAAAGTATACAGCAATGCTGAATGACTACATTGCAGAGTAGTTGATCAAATTTTATCTGAATATAGGACTAGGCAATATATGAATTTAGTTTCTTTCCATTGACCAATCAGTATGCTTATCATATTGATGTGAACACCTATAAGAGCCACTAGGAATGGTATCAGATTCATTACAATTTAAGGTACTGAACAATTGTTTTGACTTAGTTTGCAACTTTTCAGCAGTCGAGAGAGATGCACTTAACAACCTTGTGCACATATTTTTACAGTAGACCACACCTGTTGTACGACAGAGAATCATACTACCTGACTTCCCAAACCTTAGTAAGTAGCGCGGACTTCAAACCCGTAACCTATTTTTCAACTGCCTTAGTCAACGAGTCACTGCTGTATACTTCAGGAGTGACAGCTCAAATCAACGTCCAGCAGATCTTCTAGCGAGTGGGTTTGTATTCCACTAGTGATCATGATATAGTACAGCCATCATCATCTGTTGGCTAGCGAGTATTGGTTCACATCTAATTGAATAAATCAAAATGCTCACTAAAACTTGTAGAAATCTATCTACACCAATTCATCGATAATGGGATTAGATGGTGGTTCAGTTGGTGCTTATAGCGTGATTGGCAATTGGTTGTCACTTGCATAAAGCTGCATGTGTACTGAGTGTTACTTATAAGGATGCACCTAGCAGCGCAGAAAGTGATTTAAGTCAAATAAAAAGAATACGCAATATAAAGAACAGGAAAGTTTGAGTTGAGGTGTAGAACAAGAGATTACAGATGGAAACTATGTTGTAAGCTTCAGTATTTCTACACATCGACTGGTCTCTGATGAGCAACCAATCTCATATTGTCTTGTTCTGAGGGCCGACCGACTTCTATCGATCATTTCTGCAATGTAGACACCATCCTAGAAAGCTCATCACCGTGATTAACTTCGATGAATGTTAGTTGTTTGGAGGCAATCTTCAGGAAACCTTAAATGTAAGTTTCGTGCTTTCTGGCACTCATCAGCAAGACGTATATACAACCTCGAGGGGATTGATTTCACCACTGAGATTCAAACCAGCATCACTTTACTGTCTGTTACATTTTTTCGATGAGCAATATATGTTGGTTTATTGACACACAAAGCATATCTCTCATACTGTGCTGAATACGGTTTTAATAAGCTATGATAAGCAGGTGATTTCGATGATATACGCAGAAAATCAGATGATACGAATGCGCAGTCAGTGTATAATTGCCAAATCATCAGTGCTGATCAAAATAATAAAAAAACAGGACATTCAGTGAAGAGGAGGACTCTTTCCAACGAGACTTTGATCCATGAAAAGGATTGAAGTTAACTAAATAAAGATTTAAATAACAATAATTATGGTTATAGTGTTGCTAGTTGATGACATAAATGTTGAATGATAAGAAAAAAGGGTCTACATAAGGGTTTTTAAATCGTTTATAAGGTGGATGTCTTATTACAAAGAGATGATGTGATAGAGTTCATAGACAATCATTACTTTAGGTAATATGAATGAGATAACAAGGCTATTAGAATAAATTGAAAATGTTTTACTAAAATGTAAAAATAATCATCATGATAATCATAGTATAAAAGTACAATGATTAATTTAACATAGGATGAAGTTAATCAATCCAAAAGGAATAAAACAAGCCAAGTTAAAGCTAAAGGTCAGGCTTCAGTTCATCATCGGTTGCCCAAGGTCTTTGCTGCTTTTAGAAGTTGAAGACAGAGATGTTTCAGTGAATTCAATAAAACAAGCCTTAAAATCAGTCAATTAGATGCTCAATTATTGACTCTTTCCAGTGCACTTCCTTTCACATACATACGTGTTGATAACAATCTCTGTCTACAGAGCCTCTAATATACCTTGCTTCATATATAGAGGTGACCTATCGATGGGTACTGTCTTTTACACATACAAAGAACTATTCATTGTTATTTCAGTTTTTCACTAGTTTAGTTTAATTTTTCTCAACGACTTCAGTCTTTAACTATCATATATACAAATGTATAGCTTAAGAATAAATACGTTAAAAAAGAGCCCTCCCCCTTCACCTATGTAATGTAACTATGTAGTTATGTTAGACATCAATCTAGCACACAGTATTTGCTAATATATTTTTTTTCTGTCAGACTGATGAAGCCCCTTCGAATGAATATATGCACATGTGTATTTATATTGTTGTAAGGGAACAAAGAAGAAAAAGATGTAAAATTCGCCTAATCATTTATTGATGCCTATAGTTTCTCGTGGACTGAATTGATCGATCATTCTTGGGATGTGGACTTCTTCAATGGATATGTTAGTATTACCTGAAGTTTCAGTCTTATCCTGTTTGCTTGGTGGTGTGTAAGAGTTGAGTTCAGAAGGTGCATTTCGTCCAATTTGACACTTGTCATCCAACTCAGTAACCTAGTGAGTAACGTTCTGGTGCTTGATTTCAATCTCAGTGGATACACTATCACTCAGTAAGATGCATGTGCATGCAGCTGATGAGTAGATCCTATATGCGATGAAATATACGTTGTGGATTCCATTGCCGATCACAATCAAGCATTTCTCAGACAATTTACTAAGAAGTCATTCTTTGGAAATACAATAGACTACTCGTAAAAAGCGTTGGGGGATTTCTCGTTTTGTGTTCAGTAAACTGGAGAATCTACCTCCTGTACCCAAACAGTGAGGTGTATAAAAAAGTCAAAATCTTGTGACAGTGTTAGTTGATTGACTCTAGGGGCAAACCTTAATTGTTGATTTCAGTTTTCATTAGGACTACCCTTAGCCCCAGTGTTTAAAGTTGAGTAATTTTAAAGGGCTAGCTTAGCATCCACTGGGATAACCAATCAGCCTTCATTTTTTTTGACAATGTCTCAGTTCATATGATAGTGTTGGTGAAATGAAATCAAGAAGAAGCTAACTATGGAATAGTTGACCGACAAAGGAAGCGAGATTGGTAGCAGTTCTAGAATGACCGGTTGATGGATAGGCTTACAGGAAGGTACGGGAATGCATCCGTTTGTCCTATTGCTTGACCTTACCATAGTGAAGCTTATTCCACTATATTCCGATTGGAATATACAAGTCAATACATAGTAGTGCAACTTATCTCGTTACATGTTTTGCCGAGGCTAAAGTAGGCTGAGTGGAGTTCTAACCCATAATGCATCGTTTGAAATTCTGAAGTCAATGTTTATTGTTATTACTTTGTATACATTATAGATATCCTGAGATAAATCTTGTCTCACTAAACATTTTTTTATATTTCTCACTTGATTTATTTTATCTTAGGATTTTGTATCATTATTGAACCGTTTGACGAACGTTCACCCACTGTGATGAATCCAGTGTTATACTTTCATTGTATGGATGCTAGTTTACCTATACGACCGGTGATGTCACGATTCACTAGTGTAATTATTACTTCTGGGGTAAGTCTACTTTTTCTAGTTGTTATAAGCGAACAATCATTTTCACTATCTGAGATAGCAGCTATTCTTTACCAAACTAGGACCGATGGTCGCTGGTTCGAACCCGGCCGCTGTCCAAATTTCGATTGGGATGAGAAGTCCTGACTAGGCAGTAAGTGTGAATACGATCAAACGATAGTAACACGTTACAAATTCAAGTGGTAGTCGGGCAAAATTCTTGGTGATTTAAAGTGGAATAAACATCTGATCACCAGTCGGACCTCGTAACTCAGTTGGTAGGGCATCGGGCCCGAAACCCAGTGGTCACTGATCCGAATCCAGCCGTGGTCCAAATCTTCATTTCACCTTCAATCATCACCTAGTATAATCATAACTATCTCTATGATGATAAGAATAATCGGAACAGCATGTACGACACTACAGATATATAAATTATCAATGTAGGTCAGAACTTAGAAAACTGATAAAAATTATTTAATACTCAAGGACGCCAGCCAGCCAGTCTGCATCTCCTTACCAGACTCGAACTGATAGACAGGGACTTCATGCATTGATACCAAGTTTTGATCTAGTCACTCTGAACTCTCTTCCAACCTAATCCAGATTCCCCTAGGGTAGCACGTCAAGGTAAGTAACAATGGTTCAGTACGCACAACACATGGTCAAGCCACCTTAGCCTCTTGAGATTCACAGCTTCATTAATCGACTTGCCTATCTTGGCTAGTACCCTTCGCCTGGCCTCAATGCTGATCACAAGATGATTCCACCGAAGGTGAGCAATGCTACGAAGACCAAAACTGTGGGGTGCGATCGATAATTCTGAACTTTTTGGTCTTATCTATTACATGACGACTATCGGTCACGTATGACAGAACTGAACTTTGTATTTAACTTCAATTGTCTCTTTCGTAGCCATGATGGTAGGTGCTCATAAACATGTTCATTAATCTACCTGGCGGTACACTTGATATAGCTGTCTACACAGAAGCAGTTATATTGATACATGCACAAAAACAGCTGGATAGCCTGTGTTTTGTCTTAGCAACAATGATCGACCGACTAGAAAATGATATGCAAAGCTTTGTGACATTGAAGTTTCTTCAGATGGCTATAGACAACCTTTGGAATAGAACTTTACCAGGTGCGTCCTCCTTAAAATGCAGCTTCATGAATAAGAGTTATTTGTTCATATTTCTTACTCATTTTGTCTGTCTCTTCACATAACTATGGGGATAACCCAATTCCAGCAGGATATTGTGGACGTGTTGTAACTTCTTTTGTATCAGATCATCGGGGCAGATCCTTCTAGCTCTGCTTCCAAGATATTTAACTAGGCTTCTTTTATACGGAATGAACAGAAAGCCAAGGAAATCTATATATTGATGTGTAGGTATTGTCTTACTTGGACATGTACTGTATATGCGCCGAGCCACTACCTCCCTTCCATACTAGGTGAAGTTGAATTAGGTTGAAAGAAGGTTCAGAATGGCGTGACCAAGATGTGGCATCAGTCGATGAAGTCTCTGACTGTTGATCTGAGCCACGTAGGAATATATAGAGTGCCTAACTGGGATCCCGAGACCATAGGCATCAGTGGTTGAGAACTCTTGTTGACATGTATATAAAAATCCCTCACAGTGGCGCAGATATATTCATCTCTTGACATCTAAGGCTTTTTTCTTCAGGTTGTTTAATTCTCTCATACAATTTTATCTACTTTGATATCACTCGAGGTGATGCATCTGTATGAAATGTTTTATGTTGCTTTCATCCATTTAACACTCTTCTACTTAGTGATATGTTAATCTCTTCTAATCAATAGCTTCATGTAAGAAATGTTACATCTTAGAAGTGGTGTATATACATGATTGAATTTTCTTAACAATTCGCTTTTTTCAACATTTTGATCAAAGACAATGAAGGTATGTCATCAATATTACGGTTTATACAAATGCAGATTATTGATGACATCTATTTCAGTTATCTATTCTCAAGTTAAGCACGAAAAAACAAACAAACTCAGCTAATGTTGTGCCTAATAGTGAACTCATGGCAATTCTATCATTTTGTCTGTAATATATATCAATAGAGAGAGAGGGAGGGAGAGAGAGAGAGGGGGGGGGGGGGAGAGGGAGAGAAAATGAATATTCATACTGCATTGTAGAAGTGATTGTTTGACATCAACTTCTGGAAGCTCAACATTGATGTGCTTCTTCGATATTTACTGTCAAATGAATTCTACTGTCTTATGAAGTGGTACTTTCGTGAATAAAGCAAATAGATAAACAGGTATCATATTCACCTTCGCATAAATGATGAAGATGAGATTGAATACATCTTGGACATTATTCTTAACAACTTGTTTGTGTTGAGGTTGTGTAGAACCGTCAATTAACCCATTTGTGGAACATAACTAAAACTGAGATTATTAGAGCAAAGGTTGATGAGAGGTAATTATAAACAGTATTGTTCGCGCTTACATGTCTTCTTTATTTTTGACAGTGGTACACCTATATTACTTTCATTTCTCACTAGGTATCTAGTGTTGTACACATCATATCGTCTTCTTCTTCAGGTGTTCCAGCTCGATCATTATTATTATTATTATTATTATTATTATTATTATTATTATTATTATTATTATTATATTAGTTATCCCTTAGGTTCCTAATGGAACGTAGGGCTTCACTAGCACGTCTCCATTACACTCTCTTCTCTCAAATCTTTTCAACCTGCCTCCACCACTGCCCACAACCTCTCATTTCCTCCTCACACCATCTCCTCCATGTCACCCTATCCTCGCACGCCAAACTCGTCACTTCCCATCTGCCTTCCACTCGATCAACTGGCCTGACACGTGATGTCAACAGTCCACCTTCTCAGTCTATCCCCAATCCATCTACACTTCCTTCCACTGCATATTTCTTCAGCAATACCTTCTTCCTTCCTTGATTCCTTGCCAGCCAACCAGCCAGCCAGCCAGCCACAGTTCCTTCTTCCACATTCTCATTATTCTCGCCATCTGAGCTGATCTTCACTAACGAGCTAGTGTAGGCCACAGTTGTTGATCAATGTCCCTAGTTCGTTGCAAATCCTTTTCGTAACGCCACAAGTCTCTCTCTCAACTATCATATACAAACACTGACTTCACTGAATTACTGTTGAAAATCAGCATCTCCTTCCACATCCTCAGTGCAGTGCACAACATCTCCACACTGGTTTCAGGCTAATCAATGCCTGTCTTCCTGTCTTTCCCATCCTGTCTGGCTTTCACGTCCTCGTGTGTCCCTCTCCCACCTGTACTTGAAACACTCATGCCTAGATAGGTGTAGGTGAAGGAGGCTATTTCCTTTAACTTTCTCCCATTCATGGTCATTGGGGTTTGTCGTTGGTGTTGTTAGTTGGGTAGTTACTTTTCGCCTGTAGATCCTCAAGTTTGTGCGACATCAGACACAAGTCATCGTTGGTGGGATCCAGGTCTTCTAGGTTCTTTTACCCGGTACACCCAGCGTATCCTCCACTTCATCTTCTCACAGCTCCTCACTGTTTATTGCATGATCCAGTCCAGTCGATCACAACACAATCAGGAATATCATGGTTGATAGTAGGTGGCAGCCTTGTCTAGTCTTACTCCTGTCTTCACTTCACTTCACTTCACTTGGAAGACATCACTGAGGTTCCCATTGTGAATTACTTGGCATGTGGCATCTTCATATAGCTGCTGTTGACTGAGATTGATAAAGGTTTGCGGTATTCCGTAGTATTGAAGCAGTGGCCTGCCAAATTACTTGTGGATCGACGCTGTCAAGGCCTTCTCAAAGTCGATGAAGTTGAGGTAGAGGTACGGTTGACTGTCATTCAATACTCTGTTCTATGATGATGCAGAGAGTGGCGTTGCAATTTGATCCGCACATGATTTGTACTTCGTGAATCCAGCCAGCCAGCCAGCCTGCCTGCCTGTTCCGGTTGTAGTTTTGAATCCAGTGCATCCTTTAGTCTCTCCAGAATGATTCGGCTTAATATTTTGCTTGCTTTGGGTGGACAGTGGTGGAGCGTGATTTCGCACCAAATCTTGTAAAGACTTAGGTCGCCCTTCTTCGGCAGTTTGACTAGGTAACCCTTCTTCCAATCTGCAGGTACCTTTACTTCCTTCCAAGTGTTCTGCAATAGTGGTGTGGTGTGAGCATGTCCGCTGTTGTCTTTGCGTCTGTTCTTAGTGCTCCTGGCGGGATTCCATCTGGTACTGCTGCTTTCCGCACTTGAGTAGCTTTTGGCGTTCAGGGCTTCGACTTTCATCGGAAGTCTCGTGTTCACATGTAGTTCCGTGGCTGGGCTGCTGATGGTATTTCTGGACGAAGTGCAGGTAGTGTTCGTTTCAAGAGCTTTTTTGAAGTGGTCAGCCCATAGTCTCCTTTGTTTCTCTTCTTTGGTGATTAGATTTCCTTCATCATCTATTGGTTTCTTCTGTGTTGATCTCTTCCCTTCCAGATAGTAACCTGGTTATTTGTTACAATGTCCTCTGGTCTCTCGTACCTGCAACCTGTTCTGTTTCACTTACCGACGTGTCGTGGAAGTGTCTTTTGTCTTTCTGTGCACTCTTCTTCACTTCGTCCAGTGTAGTATTTCATACGTTGTAGTCAGTTCCTCTTGTCGTTGTGCATCCTTACACTGGTTTAACTTCTGCTTCATCATCTTCCTCTCCCTGCTCTGTCAGCTTCCATGTGTCCATCGAGATCCATTCCTTATCTTCCTTCTTCTTCCTTTCCAATACGGTTATTCAGATTTCCTTCCACATTGCTTTCAAAGAGTTCCAGTGTTCTTCTACACAGGTTCCTTCAGGGATGTTCCTCGATATCTTCCATTTTGTCTTGATGGCTTGAACTTGAACTGTGGTCTATCACCAACTTCCTTGAAGGCTTTCAATTTGATTTTGAGGGTTCCTTGCGTTATATAGTGGTCTAAGCCTACATATGCTCCTCTCCTTGACCTTGTGTCAAGTA